GCATACCCACGTCCTACGCGTGGTATTTTGCACCGAGTAGGCGACGTGTAACTACGTTGTGGTCGCCCGTGTAGCCAAAGCTAACATCGTTAATTGAAGTGGGTATGTTTTTAAAAAGACTAACTATTATATTAAAATTTTGGGTAATAACTTGAAATCAGTGGGTAAAAGATTAAAAGAAGGATATTTTTTCCAAAAGAAGTGGTAAAATTATTAAAAATTCGGGTAAAATATCAACTTGACCTGGGAATGCTGTAGTGGCGAACGAGGTAGCACGTTGCAGCAACAGACGGAGCATCACACTGGAGGCTAGTTCTTTTCCCGAGGGTGACATTTTTCCATTTTTATCTTGAAATCGATCGGCACGTTATTCATACCACTCCTTTCTCAACCTTGCGCAGATTGCACCAAGTGTCCCTGTGACATCAGAATTCTACTAAGCTGGGTGAGTAGCGATCACCTGTAACCCATGCGGGGGCAAGATCTGTGTGGATGGTGCATCGTGCCCAGTGCCGGTCAGAGATCGGCTGCCCGTCCCAAGGGGCCATTAAGTCCGGGTGGGACGACGGAAGTCATCACATCCGGGCATCTGAAGACGCGGGCACTGGCCAAGGCTGGGAACAGAGCAGGCAATACCGCGCGGTGGAACCAGTGAGGGTGGAAAGTGGCTGAGAGATCGGTAGCCTGGGCAATAACAGCGACATGCCAAACACAAGGATCGTTTTGCTCATTTCATCATTCCGATGTGGCCTATCCTTGGCGAATCTACTTCACGGAACTCTTGATATAGACAGTTTCGACAAGTCTCTTGCAGATGATACCGGACAGAAATAGCTTGAGGCAATTACGAAGGCAGTGATTCGACTGAGCGCCCCTGGTCGTTTGTGATATCCGGTATTCGTCGTCCATGAGCACCACCACTTATGATAGTTTGAGAGTAGAATGGCCTACGAAACGCCTTATTACGAAGCCCAGTTGGACGTTCGTCCCTCACGTTGCGGTAGACCCGGAAAGATCCACGCGCAACTGGGTTGTGCTAACAAGCTCTTCAACTGACTCAGTTGAACTGAGCCACGGAAAACAGTCATTGCTACTTTGCCTCCCCCGACATCCTCGGTAACTGGAGCGATTCCGGTAGTCATGCGAGTATAAAACGAGTCTCTTCCAATAGCAACTGAATGCCGATCGCAATGAGCGAAATAAGCTCGATGCGGTACGTACTAGAACAAGTCTGCGGTTTCTTGAAGGTGGAATCCTGATTCCTGACGACCGAATGTCCTGGCAACAACAGTATTAATAATTGCGTGTCACTATCGGGGTACAGCGTTTTTGTGACGGAATGGTGATACGAGGTCGACCGAAGGGAGGATCTCCAGGCAGAGAGGAGATGACTTTAACGCAAAGATTGATTCAGTGAGAAGAGAGGTGCATGAGTGTTGTTGCTCTTGTCGCATGCAATCAGACATTGAAAGCTTTAATTCTTTACAGTGTACAGAGAAGAACTTGACAAAATGAGGAGCATTGTCATCATTGCTGCTTGCAGTCCTCTGGCGACATCGATATCCTCTTCTTGTTCGGTGGAGGGTCTAACAAAGAGACAAACGAGTGTCGAAACTCACAAGGCCGGACTCACCCTCCATCGGCGCAGCGCTTCTTTTAGGCTGAGCTTTCTTTGGTGTCATCTTCTTGAAGTTCCCACTACTGTCCTTCTGTGACGCATTCTTCGATTCCACTGCAACAGCAGCAGGAGGAGCAGCAGGAGGAGAGGTAGTCGCCTTAGCCTTCACCTATCACAGCTATCAGTGGTATTGCCCATCCACTCACAGTGTGAGTCTCACCCTGACCTGTAGTTGTCCCGTGCTCGGAGGCGTGGACCTGACATTCTCCGAACCTTCTGCCTCTGGCGGAGGCTTTTTCAATGCCGACTTCACAGATGGTGGTGGCGCTGGCACTACAGGCTGTGTTAGAGGACGCGACGAGCTCTTCGCCTGTGAGTCTTCAGCCAATAAGGAGCTCCTAACACGCAGGAACACTTTAGGTGGAAATACTCTAGTATTACTACTCCCTTACCTCTTCTTCCTTTCCGCCTTGCCCATACCAGCAAGGGCTTCCTCCTTCTCGAGAACAGCAGCGTCCTTCTCTCTCTTGTACGTCACAATGAGCCTACCAACCATCATGACCATCACCGGCCACCCCAGCAACCTCCCCACTTCGCGCTTTGAATAGCCTCGCATCTCGCCTCAGCAGCCATCCGTT